ACTAACGTTCAGGACACCCAGCACCAAAAGACTTTCTGGACTCACGCAGACTCTAGGCTCTAGCCTTCTACTGCAGGCAGGAGCACTGTGCTTAGCCATCATTATTGAGTACCCCTAGTGCACTGGGGCACACAGCTGCATCCTCAGACCTACAAAAGCCAGAGAGCCATTACAGCAGCCCTCAGATACTGTGCCAAGGATCATCCAGTTATTCCTAGCTAGACTGACAAAACTGTGGGAATCCCTGCTCCTTCAAGAGGGCTGCACCTTAAGAGCAATAGCTGCTGCTCAATAAATTCAGAGAAAAAAACCCAGCAGCAGAACAGCCATCACCAGGACCTCTCCTGATGAGAGGAGAGCCTTCCTGAATACCACAGTTACTATACAGGTCCATACACCTGAAGTGAACTGTGACAATTCCTGAGAAGCACCACTATTCAGTTGACCATACCCAAAAAGCAGAGGAGAACTTCAGAACCCCACCAAGTGGATTCTCCCCACCCCAGGACTCAGCAGGCACCAGAAATTAACAGACAACACCTGAGACAGAGAGATGGGTAGAGGCCAGCGAAAAAGTACAACCAATAAAAAGCAAAACAACATGGCATCCCCAGAAGCCAGTTATCCAGGGGCAAGTAGCCCAGGACACTCTAACATAAGTGAAATTCAAGAAGATGAACATCCATGCTAATGAAGAGGTTAATGAAGGAAGTAAATAAAATGTGTAAAGAATTAGGGGAAGATATAATAAAACAGATTATGGTCATCCATAAAGAAATACAAGAAGATGCAGCCAAACAGTCTGTGTTACTGAAAGAAATAAAAGAAACAGAGGAATGCTCAAACAGCTGAAGGAATTTAAGGAAAAACAGGAAAATACAGTCAGACAGGTAAAGGAAATCAACAAAGTGGTTCAAGATCTGAAGATAGAATTGGAAGAATTAAAGAAAACACAAATGGAGGAAATCACAGAAAGAAAACAAGAACTACAGAGGTAAGCATAACCAACAGACTATAAGAGATGGAAGAAAGAATCTCAGGTGTGGAAGATACAATGGAAGAAATCGATATATCTGTCAAAGAAAATAATAAATCTAAAAAATTCCTGACACAAACCATTTAAGAACTCCAAGACAACATAAAAAGACAAAACCTAAGAATAATAGGAATAGAGTAAAAGAAGATTCCCTCCTCCAAGGCTCAGAAAATATTTTCAACAAAATCATTGAAGAAAATCTCCCCAACTTAAAGGGGAAGCCTATAAGAATACAAGAGGCCCACAGAACACCTAATAAATTAGAACAGAAAAGAAAATCCTCCCTTCACATAATAATCAAAACATAAGTATACAGAACAAAGAAAAAATACTAAAAGTTGCAAGGGAAAAAGGCCAAGTAACGTATAATGGCAAACTCATCGAGAATCACACCTGACTTCTCAGCAGAAACTATGAAAGCCAGAAGAGCCTGGACAGATATCATGCAGACCCTAAGAGAACACACATGTCAGCCTAGGCTACTGTACCCAGCAAAACTCTCAGTTCTCATAGATGGAGAAAACAAGATATTCAATGAGAAAAACAAATTTCAACAATACCTACACACAAATCCAGTGTTACAAATGATACTAGAAGGAAAAATACAATCCAAAAAAAACTAACTACTTTCAAGAAATCATAGGAAATAATTAACCTCACTACAGCAAAATAAAAGTAGCCAAAAACACAAACACACTACCATGGCCAACATCAATATCAAAGGATCTAACAGCCACTGGTCATTAATCTTCCTCAACATCAATGGACTCAATTCTCCAATAAAAAGACACAGACTAACAGATTGGATGTGTAAACAAGACTCAACAATCTGTTGCATAAAAGAAACACACTTAAATAACAAAGATAGACATTACCTGAGAGTAAAGGGCTGGAAGATGGTTTTCCAAGCAAATGGACCCAAGAAGCAAGCAGGAGTAGCCATCCTAATATCTAATAAAGTAGATTTCCAACAAAAATCAATCACAAGAGATAGAGAAGGACACTTCATACTCATCAAGGGAAAAATCCACCAGGAAGATATCACAATCCTGAACATCTATGCCCCAAAATCAAGGGCCTTCAAAAAAAAATTCGAAACATCTCATGCAAGCAACTTAATGGCTCACTTAAGAGCCCTAGGAAAAAAAGAAGCAGACACACCAAAGAGGAATAGACGGCTGGAAATAATCAAACTCAGGGCAGAAATCAATAAATTAGAAACAAATAAAACAATTCAAAGAATCAGTGAAACCAAGAGCTGGTTCTTTGAGAAAATCAACAAGATAGACAAACCCTTAGCCAAACTAACTAAAAGGCAGGGAGAAACTATCCAAATCAACAAAATCAGAAGCGAAAAGGGGGACATAACCACAGACACTGAAGAAATCCAAACAATAATTAAGTCTTACTTTCAAAGTCTATATGCCACAAAATTTGAAAATCTAAATGAAATGGACACTTTTCTTGACGATTCTACATGCCAAAGCTGAATCAAGACCAGCTAAACCAATTAAATAGTCCTATATTCCCTAAGGAAATAGAAACTGTCATCAAAATTCTATCACGCAAAAAAAGCCCAGGGCCAGATGGTTTCAGCGCCGAATTCTACCAGACCTTCAAAGAGCTAATACCAATACTCTTCAAACTATTCCACAAGATAGAAATAGAAGGAACACTTCCAAACTCATTCTATGAAGCCACAGTCACCTTGGTATCTAAACCTTACAAAGACCCAACAAAGAAACAGAATTTCAGGCCAATCTCCCTCATGAACACTGATGCTAAAATACTCAACAAAATACTTGCAAACCGAATCCAAGAACACATCAAAGACATCACCCACTACGACCAAGTAGGCTTCATCCCAGGCATGCAGGAGTGGTTCAATATATGGAAATCCATCAATGTGATCCACCACATAAACAAACTGAAGGAGAAAAACAACATGATCATCTCCTTAGATGCTGAAAAGGCATTTGACAAAATCCAACATCCATTCATGTTTAAAGTATTGGAGAGATCAGTGATACAAGCCACATACCTGAACATAGTAAAGGCGATATACAGCAAGCCTATAGCCAAAATCAAACTCAATGGAGAGAAACTTAAATCATTCCCACTGAAATCAGGGACAAGGCAATGCTGTCCACTCTCTCCATATCTTTTCATCATTGTTCTTGAATTCCTAGCTAGAGCAATAAGACAATTCAAGGAGATCAAGAGGATACAGATTGGAAAAGAAGTCAAAGTATCATTATTTGCAGATGATATGATAGTATACCGGAGTGACCCCAAAAACTCTACCAGGGAACTCCTACAGGTAATTAACACCTTCAGCATAGTGGCTGGATACAAAATTAACTAAAAAAAAAAAAAAAATCAGGAGCCTTCCTGTATACAAAGGACAAAAATGCTGAGAAAGAAATTAAGGAATCAACACCCTTCACAATAGCCACAAAGGACATAAAGTACCTTGGTGTGAACAAAACGAAGCAAGTCAAAGACTTGTATGAAAAAAATTTCCAGTCTCTGAAGAAAGAATTAGAAGAAGATATTACAAGATGGAAAGTTGTCCCATGCTCATGGCTTGGATAGCCATGAGCTTTACTATATTAAGCTTGGCAGGCTTAATATAGTAAAAAAGGCCATCTTACCAAAAGCAATCTAGAGATTCAATGCAATTCCCATCAAATTACCAACACAATTCTTTACAGACCTTAAAAGAAAAATCCTCACCTTCATATGGAACAACAAGAAACTCAGAATTGCTAATTCTCTACAGTAAAAGATCTTCAGGAGGTATCTCAATCTCTGATCTCAAGCTGTACTATAGAGCAACAACACTAAAAACTGCATGGTACTGGCATAGAAACAGACTGTTGGATCAATGTAAGTGAATAGAAAACCCTGACATAAATCCACACACTTATGGACACCTGATTTTTTACAAAGATGCCAAATCCATTAAATGGAAAAAAGACAGCATCTTCAAAAAATGGTGAGGGTCTAACTGGATGTCTACATGTAAAAAAAAATGCAAATAGATCCATACTTATCATCCTGCACAAAACTGAAGTCCAAGTGGATCAAAGACCTCAACATAAAACCAGACACATTAAATTGGTAGAAAAAAAAAGTGGGGAATACCCTTGAACTCATTGGCACAGGAGACAACTTCCTGAACAAAATACCAACAGCACAATCTCTAAGATCAAAAATCAATAAATGGGACCTCATGAAACTGAAAAGCTTCTGTAAAGCAAAGGATACTGTCCTCAGAACAAAACGACAGCCTAAAGATTGGGAAAAGATCATCACCAATCCTATAGCTGACAGAGGGCTAATATCCAGTATATATAAAAAACTAAAGAAGTTAAACAGCAAAAAATCAAGTAATCCAATTAAAAAAATGGGGTACAGCCCTAAACAGAGAATTCTCGGCAGAGGAATATCAAATGGCATAGAAACATTTAAAGAATTGCCCAGCGTCATTAGCCATCAGGGAAATGCAAATCAAAACGACCCTAAGATTTCACCTTACACCCATCAGAATGGCTAAGATCAAAAAGTGAAGAGACAACACATTCTGCTTTTCTTTCTTTTTTTTTTTCCGGATATTTATTGTTTCCTCAGGATTGTAATCAAAGGTTTTTCTAGTATTACTTCTGTAAAATTCATTTGCTATAAAGGGTTTTGATTTTGTAATGAAAGTCACTCATGAGTACATCTTGATATTTTGGTTTGAGAGCTCTAAGTTGGTCCTTGAGCTTCTATATTGACTTTTTGCCCCAGTGGTTGCTTACTTGCTTTGATGATATTTTTGGCTGTAGATTTATCCTGCATTCTCTCACAGTTCAGTTCCCAGGGTATTTAATTTCTCATTTGGTGACTACTTTGCATAGGTCTCTACAAGCCAGCCCAGCTGCCCATATTTTATAAACCAGCCTTTGAGGTGACAATTGAAATGCTTCAGACAAACAGGGGCAGCAAGATGGAGTCACACACAGAGGTCTTCATACTCCTGCTCCTCTGGATGTCTGGTGAGACATTAAAGAGTATTGAAATATGATCAAAAATTTATTTTTAGAGAAACAGCTATTTACTATAGGTATCCATTCAATTAGAAAAGGCATTTTGATCCCAACATTGTATCACGAACTCTTTGTGTGCACATGTGTATACTCATTGTCTATTTCTGGTTGCAGGTGCTGAGGGGAACATTGTGATGACCCAGTCTCCCAAAGTCATGTCAACATCTGTCGGAGACAGGATCACTCTAGGGTGCAAGTCCAGTCAGAATGTGTATAATAATGTAGCTTGGTACCAACAGAAATCAGGGCAGCCTCCTAAACTACTAATCTACTATGCATCCAATCGCCCCTCTGGGGTCCCTGATCGCTTCACAGGCAGTGGATCTGGCACAGATTACACTCTCACCATCAGCAGTGTGCAGGCTGAAGACCTGGCAGTTTACTACTGTCAGAATGGTTATAGTACTCCTCCCACAGTGCTTCAGCCTCCAACAAAAACCTGTTTGAGAGTCTCATCAGCTGCTTGCAAAACAAACAGCCCTGGGCCTGCACACTTCCCCCTTCTGTCTGAGATCTGTTATGCATGACTAATTGTTTCAACCTTCAGTAGAAAGTTAAAGTGATGGCCTCCATTCTTCCATAGTGTTTGCAACACAGGTGCTTATTGATAAAAAGTGAGAAGCTAACTTAAGTGATTTAAAAGTTGTGGTGTTGCACTGAGAGGATTCAGTACAACCAAGTAAGCATCAGTGAAGGTCACAGTGTCATGTTGGCTTTAGATATGTCCATGTTAAGCCTTTATGCTATAATGAATCTGTATAAAATTTGATAGAATTTCAAATCACTTACAAAGAATACAGAATCATGAGATTATTAGTTTAGATTAAGAATCCACAAGCAATTGGTTTTTGACCTGGACCGTGGTCATCTTGCATTCAATTCTTCAGAGTTTTACAAAGATTTATTACACAAGCTACGTGGATTAAGTCCCTTTAAAAACTGTCAGCATTCTCCCTGTATAATGCTTACAGTATTTATTCTAATTAATCTTTGAAAATATTAGGACACATTTGCTGGTTTATGGGATCTTGGCGTCCTTTATAAATTCAAATACATGTACATACATAAGGAATTTAAAAAAATCAGGGAGCTTGTTAAGAGATAAATAGAACCAATACCCTCTCTGAGGCCCTCAAGAAAGCAGAAAGAGAATACTTGTTCTATGTTGTTCTCCAAGGTAATGTTGGCAAAGTCCAGTCTGAAGATGGGGTCTGATCCTTAAAGGAGTTAAGGTTTTATTCCTTGGGATCTGGGCTTTGTTCTCTGAAGGGCAGTTGTGACTGAGGCATCCTGTGTTTTCTTTGCCAACAGTGTCTGATTTAGCTGTCTTCTCACATGGATCCAATATCTCCATTCAATAGTATAGAAGATGCTATATTTCTTAATAGACTTCCTTGGTATAGTCATTATCTTATGCAAGCCTTCCTGGTCCCAACTCTTCCTTTTGCCTTCTTTTTTTTTCAATTCTTTATTAATTATACTTTATTCACTTTGTATTCCCCCCTGTGGTTCCCTCCCTCCTCCAGTCCCATTCCCTCCCTTACTCCACCCTCTGCAGGCATGCCTCCCAACAAGTCCACTAATAGAGGAGGTCTTCTTTTCCTTCCTTCTGATGCTAGCCTATTAAGTCTCATCAGGAGTGGCTGCATTGTCTTCTTCTGTTGTCTGGTAATGCTGCTTCCCCCTCAGGGGGAGGAAATTAAAGAGCAGGCCAATCAGTTCATGTCAGAGACAGTCCCTGTTCCTATTACAATGGAACCCACTTGGATACTAAACTGACATGGGCTACATCTGTGCAGGGATCTTAGGTTATCTCCATGCATAGTCTTTGGTTGGAATATCATTCTTAGGAAATACCCCTGTGCTCAGATTTTTTTGGTTCTGTTGCTCTCCTTGTGGAGTTCCTGTCCTCTCCAGATTACTGTTTCTCACTTCTTTCATAAGATTCCCTGCACTCTGCCCAAAGGTTGCTCATAAGTCTCAGCATCTGTATTGATAATCTGCAAGGCAGAGCCTTACAGAGGTCCTCTGTGTCAGGCTCCTGACTTGTTCCCTCTTTTCTACTTCTTCTGATGTCCATCCTCATTGCCTTTCTGGATAGGAATTGAGAATTTTAGCAAGAGTCCTCCCTCTTGGTTAGTTTCTTTTGGTGTCCTGGATCCACCTTTCTTGGTGGCCTAGTTAGGACACATCACCAGGGGCAAGTGATCAAAGAGCAGGCAATTGAGATGTCAGAGGGAACCCCTGCTCCCCTTACTTTGGCCCCTAGGACTCAGATTTGTTACTTTTGTTGGTCTTATGGAGCTCCTGTCCATTCTGGTTCCTTCAATCCCTTCACTCTTTCCTATGACTTCCTGCCATCTGACCAAAGTGGCCATGGGTCTTAGTATACGCTTTGATCCAATGCTGTGTGGAGTCTTTCAGAGGACAGTTATGAGAGGCTCCCATCCTGTTTCCTCTCTTCAACCATTTCCTGTGTCTATTATATTTGCCCTTCTGAATGAGAATTAAGCATCCTCTCTAGGGTACTCTTTGTCATTTATCTTCTTTAGTTGCAAGTATTGTATTATAATTATCTATTATAATTTATTCATTATATATCCCAATTGAAGCCTCCTCCCTCAAGTCCTCCCAGTCCTACGCTCCCTCTCTCTTTCCCCATATTCCCTTCTTCTAATCTACTGAAAGGGAGAGTTCTCCTTTATTTCCCATCTCCTCATACTTATGAAGTCTCTTCAGGATTGCCTGGATCCACTTTCTTGGTGGTCTAGTTAGGCCTCATCACCAGGGGCAAGTGATCAAAGAGCAGGCAATGCAGTTCATGTCAGAGGCAACCTCTGCTCCCCTTACTTTGAGGCCCACAGGTAGACTGAGTTACCAAGCAGCTACACCAGAGCTGGGTGTCTTGGTGGTCTCTATGCATAGTTCTTGGTTAGTTCATTAGTCTCTGCAGGACACCCTGGGCTCAGGATTTTTAGCTTTGTTGCTGTCCTTGAGGGTCTCCTGTCCCCTTATGTGCTTATTTTTCCCACTTCTTCCATTAGACTCCCTGCTCTCTGCCCAAGATTTGATTGTGATTCTAAGAATCTGCTTAAATTCTCAGTTGGGTGGAGTCTTTTAGAGGATCTTCACCCTATTCCTTCTCTTCCACCGCTTCTGGTGTTTATCCTTTTTTGCCATTCTGAGTGAGACTTAAGTATCTTCCCTAGGGTCCTCCTTGTTTACCTTCTTGAGTCTGTAGCTTTTAGTATGGCTATTCTATATTATCTGGTTAGTATCCACTTATAAGTAAGTGTATAACATTCATTTTTTTTTCTGTTTTTGTGCTACCTCCTTTTGGGTGATCTTCTGTATTTCCATCCATTTGTCTTTAAATTTCATGATTTCCTTGTTTTTAACAGCCGAGTAGTATTTCATTGTGTATATGTGCCACAATTTCTGTTTCCATTCCTCAAATGAGGGACATCTGGATTGTTTTCAGATTCTGGCTATTACCAGTCAAGCTGCTAAGAACATAGTTTAGTACATGTCCTCATTGTATGGTGGAGCATCTTTTGGGTTCATTCCCAGGAGTGCTATAGCCGGATTTTGAGGTAGCACTATTCCCAAATTTCTCAGAAAGTACCAGATTGATTTGCAAAGTGCTTGTACAAGTCAAGCTGCTATGAACATAGTTTTGTAAATGCCCTAGTTGTATGGTGGGGCATCCTTTGGGTTTATGCCTAGGAGTGCTATAGCTAGATTATCAGGTAGCGCTATTCCCAAATTTCTCAGAAAGTGTCAGATTGATTTCCAAAGTGGTTGTACAAGTTTGCACTTTTACCAGCAATGGAGGAGTGCTTTTCATTCTCCACATCCTCTCCATCATGTATTGTCACTTGTGCTTTTGATCTTAGTGTTTCTGATCTGTGGTAAGATGAAATCTGAGACATTTTGATTTGCATATACCTGATGACATGGGATGTTTGGCATTTCTTTAAGTATTTCACCGCCCTTTGATATTCCACTGTTTAGAAATCTCTACTTAGCTCTATACCCCATTTTAATTTTTAATTATTTGGTTTGTTGGTGTCTAATTTCTTGAGTTCTTTATATATTCTTGATATTAGTCCTTTGTCATATATAGGATTGGTGATGTTCTTTCCCAAGTCTGTAGGCTTCTGTTTTATTCTGTTGACAGTATCCTTTGCTTCACAAAAACTTTTCAGGTTCAGGAGATCCTATTTGTTAATTTTTGATCTTAGAGCCAGAGTTGTTGGTGTTCTGTTCAGGAATTTGTTTCCAGTGCCAGTGAGTTTGAGGCGCTTCTCCACTTTTTCTTCCAACACATTTAGTGTGTCTAGATTTATTTTGAGGTCTTCGATTCACTTGCCCTTTAATTTTGTGTAGGGTGATAAGTATAGGTCTATTTCATTGTTGTACATGTAAACGTTCAGTTAGACCAGCACCATTTTTTTTTTTTGAAGATGCTATCCTTTTTTCCTTTGTATGGTTTTGACATCTTTGTCAAAAGTTAGGTATCCACAGTTGTTTGGGTTTTTTTTTTTTTTATGGGTCTTCAGTTTGATTACATTGACCCACCAGTCTGTTTCTATGCCAGTATGATGCAGTTTTTATTTCTGTTGCTCTACGTTACAGCTTGACATCAGGGATGGCGATACCTCCAGAAGATCTTTTAGTGTAGAGGATTGTTTAGCTAGTCTGTTTTTTTTTTTCCATATACTGTACAGGATTTTTCTTTCAAAGTCTGTAAAGAATTGTGTTGGTAAATTGTGTTGGAATTTCTTTGAATATGTAGATTGGTTTTGTTAAGATGGTCAGTTTTACTCTGTTAATCCTATCAAGCCATGAGCATGAAGGATCTGTCCATCTTTTATCTTCTTCAATTTATTTTTAGAGACTTGAAGTTTTTTTTTTTTTTCCATACAAATCTTTGACTTGCTTGGTTATAATTACACCAAGATACTTTATGTTTTTTTGTGACTATTGTGAAAAGTATTGTTTCCCTCATTTTTTCTCAGCCCACTTTTCTTTTGTATACAGGAAGGCTACTGTTTTTTGTTCAGTCAATTTTGTGTCAAGTCACTTTTCAGAAATTGTGTTTCATCTGTAGGAATTCCCTGGTAGAATCTTTGGGTCACTAATGTATACTATCATATCATCTGCAAATAGTGATACTTTGATTTCTTATTTTCTGATTTGAGTCCCCTTGATCTCCTTTAATTGTCTTGTTGCTCTAGCTAGGATTTCAACTGCTATGTTGAAGACATATGATGGTAGTTGGCAGCATTGCCTTATTTCTGATTTATGTGGGATTGATTTAAGTTTTCTCTCCATTTCATTTAATGATTGCTATAGGCTTGCTGTATATTGCCTTTACTATGTTTCTATGTGGCTTGTATACCTGATCTCTCCAAAAACTTAAACATGAATGGGTGTTGGATTTTGTCGAATGATTTTTCCACAATCTAAGGAGATGATAATATGGTGTTTTTCCTTTCCATATGTATATGCATTAGATTACTTT